TTAGTTTCTCATTTTATATGTTCAATATCAAATTTGAAATAAGAAAACCAAATTTGAATTATGATAATATATCTATTGGCAATAGATGGATCAACATTATTTTTTAGAAACTCTTTAACTTGCATATTATCAGTCCTAATTAAGAACTTTTTTGGCAATAAATAATCTTCATATTTTTGCAGTATTTGCTTCACAGCAATGAGTTCTTTCCTATTCATCTCATATCTTGTTTCAACTTTTTTAAATGTTCCTGATGTATAACCTGCAAGCATTTTAGGACAAGAACAATTCTTTTCACATTTATATTCTTTATGATCTTTTTTAACCTTTAATACTGCACTCCGGTAATTATCTGAAACATCAGTTTGAAGGATAAATAAATCTTTTTCTTGTGGAATTACAAGTTTAGGCAAAACTCTTAATTCCTTTTTTACCTTTTTTATATTTTCACAATCTTATTCTTCCCAAGACCATATTACATTCTTTCTTAATTTTGGAAGAAAATAGTTTTTTAGTTTAGCACAATTCTCAATAAATCTTTCAACATAATTTAATATACCAAGGAAGCTTTGTAACTGTTTTTTATTTTTGATTTTTTTCAGGAAATTCTTGAAACTTTTCACCAATATGAGATTGCAATTGCAATTCTCTTTCTTTTATAAATAATCCTAGGAATTCTATTTCTGTTTTAGCTATCTCAGCTTTCTTTTGAGAAAGTTTACCATGTTTTTTCATAATATAACAAAACTTTTCAAGATGTTCAATATGTTCATTTATATTATTTGAATGTATAAGCAAATCATCTACATAAGCAATGCAGAAATGAGTAATTGGTTTGATTACCTCATCCATTCTTCTTTGAAATATCTGTGATGCATTTTTCAACTCAAATGACATTACATTCTAGTTTGCTTCTTACATTTTTTGGAATTTTGGATAACTTTTGTCTTACCCATTCTTTTGTGATTATGGGAATCTTTGTTTTTTCCATTGTGTCTTCTATATTAATAGATATTTCTTTGTAGTTCATACTTACAACAGTTTTATTTATTCTTGGTAGTATACCTAAGAATCCTTGATGAAATACATATTTTTCTTGTGAATCTAATATCTTCTTAGTTATCCCTTTGTACTTTTTAGCATCAAATGTGATTTCTTGGTTTATTTCTTCTACTGAGTCTTCAACTTCCTCAATTGTTTCTACTTCTATTTTCTGATCTATTTGTTGTATTTCTTGACTCATATATACTATCTCTTCAGAATCTTCCTTTGAAGATGATGTATCTAATTCGTAAATACTACTGCATTCACTACTTAAATCTTCAAAGTATTCAATTGGTTCTATATCACTATCATTCTGGAACTCCTCATAGATTCTAAGAGTTTTTATGTTTTGTTTATCTTTCCTTTTAGGACATTGAGGGACAATGTGTCCTTCTTCATTGCAGATAAAATATCTACATTTCTTAATATATTTTGGTTTAGACTTATTAGCCCAATTTCTTTTTTTGAAATATTTTTTATGTGGTTTAAAAAATCTTTCTTAAATTTTTTATAGTTTTTGAATTTTCTTTTATATTTCTTATATGGTTTATATTTCTTTTTGTGACATCCAAATTGTTCAATTTGTCATATATCTTTGTAACAACATAGAGAGTTTCTTCTCATCTTGTATACTTTCTTATTCTCTAAGGCTTCTCTACACCATATACGTATCATTCTCTTGGTAAATTCAATCATACATCCAAGACTATCTTTGTTTATACCATCATCTTCTCCAAGAGGTAGTAATTTCTCATATTCTTTTAGTAGTTTAATTCCCCATGGGAATGGTAACTTTGTAAAATAAGATCTTAATATATGTTTATTTTTTTGGTAATCTCCTTGGTTTAATATATAGTATAATTCTTCTAAGTTACATGTGTATCTATCTAGTTCACACATATCACACATTTTTAAATTCTCTATTGCTATCATTCCTTCATTATATTATTCTTGCTTTCTAGTTTCTTCATCTGCCGTAAATCTATATCCTAAGAATTCTGTTCTCATGGCTCTTTCTAACCTTCTTAATATTTCTTGTATATTTTGCTCATTTAAAGTATTCCTATTATCTAATATTTCAGTTGTATTTTCTCCATATTTTATTCTTTTTTTATATTTTCTGGTAATTTTTTCTACCATTCAGATACAATTCCTCTGAATGTATGTTCTATAAACCCGAAGGCTGTATATGTCTCCCATTTATTAAATTGTATAGCTAAATTTGTACTTTTCATCCATGTTTCAATGGCTTTATCTTTCTCTACACAATCAAGAATCAAGATCCAACCATATTCCTGTTGAGTGGATTGGTTCATTATAGGATTTCACTGGATTTATTTCTTTTGTAGATTGTTTTCTTATATTTCCAGTGTACATTTTTTGTGTTTTTCTATATTGATTAACACCGTCTTTATTGGGTATTGGTGTTCCATAAGTATATTCATATTCTTCAACACTACTAAATTCTGTTTTTATATTTTGACTAGTTGATGGATTAGTGTTCATTTTTGTATTTTCCATTTTTTCAGTTAACTCTTCTAACTGTTTTTTATATTTATTATATTCTTCACCGGTAGATTTTAAGAATTTTTGTTCTAATTCTTCAACCCCTGTTATCATATATTGTTTTATCTCATGACTTTTTCCTTTATCCTTTTGCGTTATCCTGAAATCTTGGAGTGAATTAATTATAATCTTATCTTTTCCTTTAAGATTTTTATCTAAAATAGCATTTCCTATTTGTATATTATATTCTAGATTTTCTAATCTTTTATGTATATCCTCAAAACTTTCATTTGTACTGATTTTTGGTAAATAAGGATAGCTTGGTTTTTTATGTTTTTCTACTTTTCTAAAAAAAAAAAATCAATTATCTCTTCTTCGTTAACTACATTCATCATTATTTTAGGTTCGTGACGAGTCTCTAATATCATTTGGACCAGGGGCACGAGCGGAATTATGTTCTATTAATTAACAAGCTTTTAAGAGGACTTTATTGGAGTCTCTATATTGTTATAGTGGCTTTGGTTGTAAATTCTATGTAAGAGGGTATTTTGGGCAGTATATACCTATTATTTTCAATTTTTTGGTCAAAGGCTATTTTTCCGAACAAGCTTTGTAAATAGGCCATTCTACCCAATTTCCACTATTTATTTTTTAATGTGATTTTTCATTATAGGTAAAAAAAATTTGCGCGTTCAATGTAATTTTTTTAAATATGGTATTCTGTTTAATATATATTTTTTAAAATTTATTACTTTATACAATATTTTAGTTCATTAAATATAAAATTTTTAATTTAACGATTTTAATAATAATAATAATAATAATAATAATAATAATAATAATAATAATATAATTTTTAATTAAATAATTTAAAATAAAATTTGATGTAAGACTCTCCATTGATCTACACCACCATATTAAAGTTGCACCAAATATGGTTTAGACCATCTCCAATGGGCTTAGGCTTGGACTTCCCAACTTGGTCAAGGTCGAGCAACTCCCACCACATTTGGTGGAACCTTCAAAACATTTTCAGGGCCGAGTCACCACTCACACACCCAATCCACCGTCAACGTGTACGTCCTCATCCATTTCTAACTATTCTAAATAAAGATACATGTACGAAGGTCTTGGTGCCACGAAGGCAAGATTGATCGGCGCATTATGAAAAATAATTGGAGGCATATATGTACCTTTTATGCAATTAAAATACGGTACTAATATATATTTAGCCTTCAAAGAAACGCAGGTAGAGCAATTAATTATACTGAAAATATAAACGAAATACAAACATAGAAGTGGAACATTAAATTTAACAAATAACAAAACAATGGGAAATTCTAATCTGCATATAGAACTTGAAGCTAAAGATGATTGCTTTATAATTGCCAAAACAATTCTCTGGCAATACAAAAATGATCCCAATAAGCTTTCTTCAGTACTAACTTCGTTATATTATCCTCATCTGAAAGGGAGAGGCAGATGCAGACGTCCGCGAATGACAAACTTTCCCAGGGGTCGTCGGACAGCTTTCTGTGTAGCCGTAAAACACTGCTTTATGAGCATCAACTCATACCCAATTTCTTAATTCAACCTACAGAAAATATTCGTATCCAGAAAGTCTACGAAAAAAATAAGCATAATCTTGAAGTTGCATCCGGCTTGGAAAAAACATCCAAACATTTGATAAGAAGCATTTTAGCAATGTAGAATTCTATAATTTACCAAATAAATTGACAAATTTGGAAAGTCTACTGCTGTTTGTAAACATGAACATAATAATACTCATGGCATATATCCATCCACTGCTTAGCTATGATCCAAATAATGCAGATTCACAGTGAATATATATAGTTTATACCTCTATATTTGGAAATATATAATCTGAAAGGAAATGTGATAAACATACACACAATTAAATTAAGTTTCTAAGTTTTGTAAAGATTATGAATATTCACTTCAACACCATCATCTTCAGATACGTAACCAAGTTAGTATATGAGAATGTACACAGCATGGACCCAAATCAGACGCGCATCCATTTAACTAAAATTCCAAACAAAAAGAAAAATGCTTGCATATCAAAATGTAACTACAAAATATATGATGTACAGCTATATTTCTTCTTCAAGAAGAAAGAAATGCTGGCGAATCCTGGCGAACCTAGAATTAAATAATACATTTGCATGAATTAAATAATGATACCATGGACTGTATTGCCCAGTAGTTTATGCCACAAGAGAGACGGCAAACCCTGGCATTATCTTTAAGCCTTTGAAAGCAAATGATGATTTTCTGTGGCCCTGGAAATGCAGGGATTGAAGATTGATGAATAAAATCCAAAGGAAATTAACCAGCTGCCAGAAGTGTACGAGGCAATCAAACTCACATTAGTTAGTTAACTAAGATAGATTCAATACTGACATTAAATAGTCGTTTACCAGTCAAAGCTCAATACAAATAGTTTTCAGGCCATGAACTCCATTACAGTATGAGCAGAAACCTATTTGAAATAAAAATATGTAACTTTTACAGACTGATTAGATGTTGGATACCATAAAGGTTTTATTACATGAATCTCTTCAACCTGAAAAAGGTATACACAATGTTTTTGACTCCCAAAAATAGTTCTTATGCAGTGAGAAGACACTAAATATGCCTTTTACGGTAGAAATAACAAAACAACACAATAGGGCAAAGAAATCCAAAGTGGGAAGGCATACATTCATATCTCGAAAATTTGTCTACACGAATTAATTGATTAGGAATTATATAGATTCCCACAATTTCACAATGCTATCTTTATTACAATGTTGAACCAGAAAAAAAAAGGACATACTAAAAATGCAAAAAATAAAAGTTTTAACAACTATTATCTACAACTATTATCTAGCAAGAGTACCAGTTTTAGCAGAAATGAGGTACTTCAGCTCCATCAAATGTTCATCATTTGATATATGGAGTGCAATACGAAGATTTGTCAACAAAGCTTCGTGTTCCCAACTTAAGGGACCAGATGCATACAATGCTTCCAGAGTGCAGCGATAAGCATGCAACTCTAAGCAATGGATACTAGCATCTACTTCCTCTTTTGGAGGAAGCGGACAATTTTTTACCTCGACGGGATCAGAACAAGACTCTGCATCACTACAAACGTTATTAGACACTTGGCGAAAGAGTGGTATAAAATGACTAGCACAGTTGTTTGGATTTTGATCATTAACACTACAACTACCAACAGAACATGCATCACTGTCACAATGATTATATTCTGAGCTTCTAACTCTAGAACTGCCAAGAAGATTATTTTGTTCGGCTTTCTCCATTTGATTAAATCCATTAAATCTATTTTTAAAGGATGCATGCATGTATTTCTCACCCAGAATTTCTCTTGGGTAAGCAACAGCATCTACCTTTTCAAGTGCGGGGGAAGCAACCACTCTATGCCTCCTATCATCTTTATCAATTGCTCTTATTTTCTGGGCATGTCCATTATGCACTTCAACGATAGACGAGCAGTAGGGAGACATCCTCTTCAAGGACCTTGAAGAGACTAAAGGAGTTTCCCTAAATTTAGAATCATTCTGAGTGATCAAGCAATCTCTTGGTGTTTGATTTTTAGCCCTTGCATTAAATTGTTGATCACAATTTGAAATTGATAGCTTATTAGCCTTTTCATCCTCGCATCCTCTGGAACCCTGCAAACAGGAGGAAATAGCATATCAGTCAGAGAATGCAAAACTGAGAACTATTCGGATTTATCAATTTATTTAAATCTAAAAAAACTACATTCTCTATTTACTAGAAAAGATACAAGACGGCAAATCAAAAAGTTGCACTGCCTAATATAAGCAATAAAACAATTCTGTACAAAAAGGATAGCACGAATAATCGGGTAAAACAAGCAGCACTTATCAAATGCTATTCTTGCATTTTAAAGTCGGTATCACATTGTCATGACATTAATCCAATAATAATAATAATAATAAGTTGGCAGTCTTCAATTGAGATGAGAAGCCAAAAGCATTCCCTTCAAATCAGAGGCCCAAAACACTGAAACTTCACTGAAAAAATTAGGTAAGAACATGATTACAAGGTATCATGCAGAAAAGACTAAAGAAGAAACATATAAGCAATCAGCTTCAGTAACTAGATAAGATTGTTACAATGTAAAAGAAAATATGGAAAGATTGCATCAATCAAGTATATGAAGTAAAAGTACCTTTGGGATTACAATCCATTTATCATCATGCCATGTTTGTCTCATCCTAGTGTTGGTTCCTTTGACGATTAATTCCTGGGGGCACCCAAGCAGCCTTACCAAATACTGGCATCCATGTAAAACCTTTAAAATTGTGGCAAGCTTCCAAGAAATACCATGAAATACCTCCAAAACATCCCCAGCTACACAATTCTCTATACCTTGCAACAGAGGTGGACATGGCCTTATAAACTTCCTTGATACCTGTTCCACATTTAGTTTACTTTCCGTCCCAGGATAACAATCATATTTCACAGTATAAGTATGGCCATCAACAGATAGTATCTTGGCTTTATGCCATGAGACTGGAGTATCCCTTTTGTTCATAACCTCCACGTTACTCAATATTTTGAACTTCATTATAGGTGATATTGTACACACGCAATAAGAATCTGTGAAAACAAGATTAAAATGTCATGTAACAGCATATAAATCAAGAACTAAACAGTAAAACAGAAAGAGAGATCTGAAACGAACAAAAAGTAAGCAAAACTTTTAATCTGCATATCATTGTTGACACATACAAATATCAAGAGTAACAAAATGATTTTCTTTTCATGAACTATTGAATCACATCATATCAAACAAAAGATCTTTAATCCATATGATGAAAGAAAGAAGCTACAAGAGTAAAGCTATTCAGCACCACTGGTACCAATCAAGTGTCTAGGTGGTAACTATAAGATATTATATGATAGATTCACTTAAATCCAAGGTCAAATTATTCATTTAATTCAACCTATCAAGGGTGGCTACTTAGACTGGTACTCGAGCTCCATTGGAGCTAGATAGCATTATTTAACAACAAATATCATCCAATTTTTAAGAACTTGTCTCACAAGCATAAATCTAAAATATCCAAGATACTGCAAGAAAAATAAGAAATAGACGTAAGACCTTCATTTATTACAGTAAATAAAATTTTTTGTCATGATTTTCTGATATAAAAGTACTCCAAATTAAATTATTTCAAAGCAGTAATTCAGCAAATATATTCATAACCGAAAAGTGACTATTTAAATATTTTAATCACACAACCGTCATTCTTACAAATATCTATTGATAAATATCTTTTAAGCTATATTTACTCAACAGATAATAAGCAAAAACCTAAAATGTGAAATACTAAGCAAAAACGTAAAAGTACCCCCCAGAAGGTTTAAAATTGCATCAATCAATGCAAAAATGAAATGAATATCCAACAAATACATTAATTATTACAAAATCCCCAACAAAAACAACGAAACTTAAAATCAATTTTGGGCTCTAAAGCCCCAAAAATTGAAACCCTAAAACTGAGATCACTTACCTTCACTTGGAATTCAAGAAATACTTTGATCTCGCACGGTTTTTTCCGAATTTTTTTTATATTTGGAGTTCTCTAATTCACGATTTTCTGAAATTTAATTTTGTAATCTAGGGTTTGTTCATTTAATAAAATTGTAAATTTATATCAGGTAGAGGTTAATTTGGGAAAATTAAAAAAGTAATGCACTCTGTCTGTTTGTGTTGGACTCGGAGATCAAAGGGATATTATAGTCACGCGCCTCCTAAAACGTCGCCACACCGCTTTTTTATTTTTTATTATTTATAAATATTTTGTTATGAATAAATAAATATTTGTTTTATGACTGTTCAATACAAATAATCTGTGTGTTTGATAGATATTATTAAGGAAAAATATATTTTAAATAATGATATGATGATAAATATGTGGTTAAAAAGTAAGAAAAAATTATTGATGTGATGAAAAATATTTTTTTATTGAAAAATATGTGGTTGAAAATGAGTTTTGAAAAAATATATTTTAAAAAATGTGTGTCAAACATGGGCTAAATTTTCAAATAATTTGGTCAAAAGTTTTCTAAAACTTTATATAAGGATTTTTCAAGGGTTTCGAATTATATTAAATTATTGGAGTTTCAGACATTTTCAGAATTTCTATGGGGATATTCATATTTCGAAATGTGTCTTTAATGAAAATGCTAACGTTCTTGTAACCTCGTGTAATATTGACCTTTAGTTCAAGATCATTGATAAAAATTAAGGAGAAAAGATGTTAGATCACGTCTTTCATTAATACGCATCACTACAGTTACATAACATAGTTAGGGCGGATGCGATAAAACTTTTGACAAATTTTGATAAAAAATAAAAGTTGATGAAATATATGGTTGAAATGTTGTGGATCCGATGAAATGTGTTGTTAAAATTGAAATTCAACTAGCTCAAAAGTTGATAAAACTCTGAGCAAAGTATTATCAAATAAGGTGTTAAAATTAAAGTTCGACTAGCTTTTTAATGAGGTAACTTGGTGATCAACAAACTAATTAATAATTTTATTCATTATTTCCTACCACCAATGTGTCCTAACAACTTCAAGTTATTTCCTAAGTTCACTTCTTATTTCTAGGGATGGATAAGCATATGCACTCTCATCGATATTGGACGGTTCTAAATAAAGACACATACGATGATCTTGGTGCCACGAAGGCAAAGTGAGAATCTATATAGAGAATGGAACTCATATCAATTCATCAAACACTAAAAAACAACAACAACGAACTAAGCCCTTTTCCGAATGAGTGGTGAAAAAGTACAAATACATTGCAAGAAATTTAAAACTCAAACCATTAAAATATGCTAATCTTGAAATGGACTGCCGAATGAAGGATCATATGGTGTGGCAATCAAGTGAAGGTTATTTTTTCTTGATACAGCTATTCCTTCAACTTCAGTCATATCTATATTGTTTGAGCTGATTCCATTGGGGAGTTTCCAGTCAAAATGATAAAGGAGTTGAGCTAAAAGAAACTCAATATTTGCTAAACCGAATGTCATACCCGGACAAATCCTCTTTCCCGACCCAAATGGAAGATATTCAAAGTGATTTCCCAAGAAATCAACTGAATTTTTCTCAAATCTCTCTGGTTCAAAACTTTCAGGATTCTCCCAATAGTTGGGATCTCTTCCTATAGACCAAATGTTGACTATAACGTTGGCATTGAGGGGTATTTGATACCTGCCAATCTCACATTCCTCTCTGCATGCTCTTGGGATAATAGAAACGGGAGGGTGTAGCCGTAAGGTTTCTTTAACGACCAACTTGAGGTACTTTAACATGTGAATGTCAGTTTCATTAATAGTTTTCTTTCCATTGAACGCTAGCCTTATTTCAGTCTGTGCTTTTACCATTACACGCGGGTTTTTCATTAGTTCTGCCATGGTCCAATTGAGTTCGCCTCGGGCCTTTGAAATCACAGGACCGGCCCTGGCCTTATTTCAGTCTGTGCTTTTACCATTACACGCGGGTGCTTCATTAGTTCTGCCATTGTCCAATCAAGTGTTGATGATGAAGATTCAGTTCCAGCTGAAAACATGTCCTGCAAAAATATGATATTTAGCATTCAGAACAAAATTGTGGTAAGGGAAAAGGAAGAAAGCATAATATTGCTACAAGTCTTACAAAAATGACGGCTTTGATATTGTCATTGGTTATTGGAAAGTCGAGTTCGCCACTTTCCTTTAATCTGAGAAGAACATCAACCAAATCTTCACAGCCCAACTCTCCATTTGCTTTATTTGTCACTGCCAAATTCTTTCCATGCTCATCGATAATGGTGTCAAGAATCATGTCAAGCTTACGCCTCATCTTCAACAACTTAAACTTATTCCAACTGATTAAATCGAACACTTTGACCGAAGGAAATAAATCAGCTAAATCAAAATGTCCTGCCAAAGCTATGGCTTTCTTTATCAACCTTATTGAAGTTTCTCTATCCCTACATACTTTACCAAATGCAGTTCTGCATGTTATAGAACTTGTACACAAGAAAATTTTCTCGGTTAGATCAAATTGTGCTTCAAAAGTTGATCGGATGGGCTCGACTAGACAAGAAGCTTCATCCTCCCTGATCGAGGCAAACGATCGAACATTTTTCGGGCTTAACATTTCCATTATACAAATTTTCCTCATTTGCTTCCAGTAATCACCATATGGGCTAAATACTATATCAGTATAATTATACCACATTATCTCTGTAGCCACACTTTTGGGCCTATTAGCACATGCAGGATCATGAACTTTCAGCACCTCTTTCGCCATTTCGGCCGAAGATACAACAATTGCAGAAACTTCACCAAATTTGAGGTGCATTAAGGGCCCATAAATTTGAGCCAAATTTCTCAAAGAATGATGGTGTGGAAGTGAAGTGCCCACTATATGATGCAAATGCCCAATTAAAGGCCAGTTTCTAGGACCTGGAGGCAATTTTTTAAGCTGATTCGGATTTTTCAATTTCTTCCACTCCTTGATTATCAATGATAGGAAGGAAAACGCAAACAGACAGGAAATGAAATTGAAAGGAAACTGAATTTCCATTGCAGGAGCAAGAAAAGAAAGTGATAATGCTGGCAGGTAATCGAAGCCTCTATGTTGTAATGGATTTGCATTAACAATCTTCAAACTTTCCAAATCAGAAGTTTTCTCATACCTTTCCTTTTGATTAAATTCAACAATCTGCTTCTGTTTCTCAGTGTTAGAACCTGACCATGGGCAGCACATAACGATCTTTCTCTTCTGTTTTCTGCAATTCCCATGGACGAATTTCAATTTCCATTGCAATGTTGATCGGATCAAGATCATTAAGATGGAGAATTTGGTGGTGTTATTGTTCTTGATATTGCTCTTTGGTGATAATTCTTGTTTGACTAGATATTATTTCTGGGAAAATTCTGTTGCCCCCCTCATCTTTAGAACTTATTGCAATTTAGTCTCCAAACTAACTTGATAACGTTAATCTTAACTTTTGAGTTTCGTAGCATCGTTAATTCCTACTTTACATGATTATGTCGTGTTGAAATGGTTTTTTTTTAATTGAAAAGAGAATTATGAACTAAATCTTGAAGTCAGAATATTCGATTCAAAGCAAATCAATTTGTAGATTTTATGATTATTTTTGAGATGAAGTTTTATAGAAAATTAAAAATAATCTCCTTGCAGGTTCAAGTTGATTAGATTCTACAACTTCCAAATGACGATTTAGAATGCACAAGTCAATTTTAATTTATTTTCAATCTTTGCATTCATAGTTGTGAGCTGAGATTCTTCGAACAAAGTTTTTGAACGAAAATTCGAACTTAAAGAGTGGTCCAAGTTACCCAAAGATGAAGGCAAAAAGTTGTCGATCAATTTCTACCCATTTGTGTGAAATTTTTTTATTTATTATTTTTTAATAAGGGAGGGCACGAGAACATACTCAGACTTGTGGTTAGTGTATGTGTACGTCAAAGGTGCTTGTTGCGGATTATAGCAGGATCAAATCGATTGAAGATACTGTCGAGGATGTTTTTGTATTTTTTACATTTCTAATTTCTTTTGCTTTTCATTTTAGTTCTTATTTATGTTGTTTTATTTTTTTAATTTTAATTATAAAAAAGGCATAATTGTGTTTTCAATAAAAAAAAAAATTCTAAAGGTAAACGGTGATGGAATCTATCTAGTAGGGACCAATGACACTACAAAACTATTAAATTGGGATGATATTATAAAAAAACAATTAGGTTAGTGGCAAAATTGCAAAATAATGCAATTTCCCTATACATAAACAGTTTAAACAAGAGCAATGGTGATGGTGACCAATTTGAAATGACGTACTGAATTAAAATAAAATAAAAATTAATTTTCTATTGTCGTGATAATTCTGGTTTTAAAAAAATAAATAGTAAAAGTTCAAGAAAATAATTAAAAAAATTATTTCATATTTTTCTTTGATTGGTTTAAAGATAAAAAGGAAAAAGATAATCTATTGGCATGTTACCAACACAATTTTCTTTTATTTGCTTAACTTTTTGTTGCATTCTTATCATCAATCTTTCATCTATTGTTCACGATGACGATGATTTCTGCTCAAAAAGCTTTCAAAAGGGCATAAACTAATTTATTTACTCGTCGTAGTTGTAAATAAATAAAAATAATAAATACAGAAGTACGATAATATATTTATCCCTCATTTCGAAGTATGCTGACATAATATTTGACCAGAAACTACAAGTGGTAATTAACGAATGACCAGAGATACGAATATGAAAAAAAAATTATGAAAGCACAACTACGACAATAAGCAAAAACTGAAGAACTTTAGTGCAATTAAAAGTAATGGAGCAAAAGAAAATTGTCTCGAGATCCGGAGCAATATTATGAGAGCGTATAAAACTCCTTAATAGCTTCAACTTGTTTGACAACTATTATTTGATAAGTCTTTTTTTCTATATACTCATTTTTAATCATATATTTATATAATAAAATATTTTACACGTAAATCCAAAATTTTTCTTTACTTTTTAATCATATATTCTTCTAAAAATTACTATTCAAAACATTATTTTTTCTAAATAATGGTGGTCAAGGCTAAAATGGGAGAAGGAGCCAAGATGAGAGAGAGGAGAGAGATGCAGGGAGAACCAAGTGGGGACAGTAAACTTGGCCTCTATATAGTGGGACAAAACAGAAGATGACTTAGAAAGATGAGGAGCCAATTTTCAATAAAGATATTTTATGACGTTTATATATATAAATATTTCATATCATTTTACAAAAGTTTGCCTAATGATATGCATTATTTTTTACTCCTCGATTATATATACTTCTTGGTCAAATCTCATTCATATTTTGTTTTTAAGAATAATGTTGTCTCGTATGAGCGAAGCTTAATGTTGAAAATTCGGCACTGTTTCATATGCTGCCGTTAAATTTCTCGATAAAGTAAAATTTTAAATAAGTAAAGAGTGATATCATGATGTTAACAAAAGATAGTTTCAAGATTGATATCTCATAATAAAACTTTATCAAGTTGAGTCGATAGACCAAAAAGATTGTGTGGTTTGAAGTTGAGTATATTTATAGAAGACGACTTGTAAAATTCTTTATACGGTCCCTTTTTCTATCAATGTTTAAGTTTATATACAAAATATATCTCCGGCGTATCTTCAAAATTTTGATTTTGACACATGTTGACTTTCTAATTAAGACTGAATTATTGTTATGAAGACAAATAATGAACAAAATTTAAACTTCTATGTACTATCCGATTTCCTCGACCAACTATCATCATCATCATACCCAAATACTCAAATAAAAAATTTACAGACTAAGTCAAACAATAAATATTAATCACATTTTATTGGTCTCACAACTTTTCAACCACACATTCCATCAACTTTGATCAAAATTTATTAAAAATCTAATTTTAATTTTCATCAAACAATCCCAAAATCAGTAAATATAAACAGCCACAAACCGGATGAGGCAAAAACACTTGTTTTATACAATGGCAGTCAACACTAGCCCTTAAAACTGTATTATCTGGCAAATTTGTTCAAGATCAGACCTCAAAGCTTGACTAAAAATGTCTGACTTTCTCCGAGAATTGGAGGTTTGTGTACACAAACATCGTCCTTAAACCATAAACCTTGAACCTCATGCATCACACATTATCATAACAATCATAGGGTGGTTAATGGCATTCTCAATTGAGCATTTTAAGTAAAAAGATGATTAAGAATCTAAGATAGTAGACGTCCACAGAGAAGACGACAAATTTAGTACATCAAAGTGAATTGCCAAATCAAGATTTCACTTAATGTAGCCGCGCAAATACTTCATTGGATATTTTGTTATAAAATAAAACATTGAAGACCCACTTGGGAGATTTCACATGGATAATTATTTGAGTGCCAGTGGTTAAACTCTAACGTTCGATAGTGAAATTGATCATTTGACTTGAGGTCATCATAGTGCCTTATATGATGTGTTAGTTTTAGGTGCTCCAATCTTCTATCCGGGTTCAATTTCTTGGAAACGACCACCACAATTTACACCAAAACCTCCCAACCTTTCTTCCCAAACCGGTTGCTCCAAGTTGCCCACAATGGGCTAAATATGAATGCTCTTGGTAGCCCAAAAAAGCAGCTACAAAGGCTAAGAGAATGAGAGAAGAAGACGGTACAAAGCCAAGGTAAGCACAAAGCCAAATGAACACTCTTTTCTCTTCTCTACACACGACTGCCCACAACATTCACACTAATTGCAACAGTGATGGGTCAAAACATATAAAGGGGGAATTAGGTATGGGCTTTAGGTTAAAGGAGTAAGGCCCAGTAGGTGATCAATAAATGGGCTGTCAACCCTAAAACCGTCCAAGGTAACGGGTCGGGCCATGAGTAACACTAATGATATTAGGTTACTTCAAATGATTGAAATAGGTTGTAGGAATGGTTGTTCGATTGTGGTGTTGACATTTCACTTCACTCATCGACCGAATCCTATAAAGTATAATCCAAATAACAACGGTTTAACATCATTATCCGCATCATTACCCGGGATTTATTGGGTATCAAAACCCAACATGATGACAGTCATATTTTGATGATTTTGGATGTTACTCTGTCAAAGATATCGCTAATACAATATCGTTCGGGTATGTTAAGAATTATATCAAAGTTGTGAATAATCAAAAGATGATCAATCATTCTTAGATTGTAAGAGATTATGATTTACATTTCAATCAGTTAAGTTAATAACGAAATCCATGGTCAATGTATACTCATAAGTTGAAAAGGAATTTTCGACTTACATTGACTAATAGTTGGATGAAAGATATGATCAATAATTGAGATTAACAAGCATTCATACCTCGTAATTGATCGGATCATATTGATAAAATGATTATAATTTCATGGTAAACCAACATATTTGATTTTGTCACACCATATGACATTTTTCGTCACATGTATTACCCTAATAGATTTCTAGATGTCAAGTTGGGACGACGAATGTGAATTGGTGATAAATTAAAAGGGGTATTTTAATTTATCAATTTTGATTAGATCAAAAAATTAATTCACGTCCGTAGATATCGTGATCGGAAACGTGATGGGCTACACATAAAAGAAGAATTAGAAGAATGCGATTCACCAATTAATTAATTAACAAATGGTGTGCAGTTAATTCATTGAGTTGCTTGTTAATAAGCCCGAATTAATTAATTAATTAATTCATGAACCAAATTTAATTAATTTGATTAATTAAATATTGGAACGGATTAAGTTTAAGAGACGGGGCAAACCCACTTAGGATTTATATTAATAAGTCATTATGATTTTAGAAAAATAGAACAGATAATAATTCATATGTTAGCTAGCACAAGAAAAGAGAAATTATAATTCTCTCATTCTTATTCCTTGTGTGAATTTTTATTGGAGGCTAGACAATTGGATAGTTGTGGATTGCAGATCGTGATTGTTCGTATTCCAAGATCAGCAAAAGAGTTTACAAAATCTACAAAAAGTAATTTCTATCACAATTTATTTCTAAACACAAATAAAATCTTTGGTGGGAATAAAAATTTGTTTTAATTTGCGCTGTACATATTAAGTAAATTCCCAACAGAGATATCAATGATAAAAATTCCATCAAAAGATTTCTTAAAAGGAAAATAACTTTAATTCTCAATTCTATCAAAAGATTCCTTAAAAGAAAAATAACTTGTAATGCAATTGATTGTTCAACTAATTATTAAAGATATATCCATATTAGAGTATTTTTGTATTGTACAGGTAGAAACTTCATAGAATTCTCCAGAAAATAAGCTGAAAATCTTTCACAAGGGAGACTATTCAATTTCTTTGTATTTCACCCTTTTATGTCTAAAATATTTAAGAGTGGAAACTTTTTATTTAAACATATTTATTTAATAGATTAAAAAAATAAAGATACAGATTAATGTGGAAAAAAGTTATTTTCTTATTTTCAAATTTCGAATATATAGCAGTCACTCACACGTCGTTATGTTGCTTAGACGGAAACCCTACATTTTTGATGATATATGTCGTAAGTCATTCAATTGTGAAAATAAGTGTTCATAAAAGTTTTGTCATGTAAAATCTTCGTATTTTGATATTTAATATGATAAAAGTAGAATGATTGTGTGAGAACAAATTGAGATGATTTTCGACAATTCAATAAATCATATAGCGTTATCTATAAAAGAATGGTTGTACCCATTATTGTTGATTATGTTAGAAGGTTATTTCGAGTTAGGATACTGGACGTAGTTAACCACGTTAAATATTGAGTCATTCATTTCGCACATTATTTATTTAATTTTGCTCTATTAGATTATCTCCTATTAGGTTTGCACAAGCAAAGAAAAATTATTTATTTCGCTGCATTATTGCTGGATATCATATTAGATATTGGTCTAATATTAGATATTGCTGATAAACTCATTAAACAAGCTATTCAAACTTTGTGGATACCTTGCTCCATGGAAGGAAAACATTGTGAAAGTTTTAAATTATTTAGACCTACGTGTGGAATTATACAATTAAAAGTAACAAATCATTTTTTAATTGTTTTTAGATGGTTAGTCAAACAAGTCAATTTGTCATAAATTTGAATATCAAAATCAATAAATAAAGTAGTAAAGAACATCAAAGATGATCATGAAGAAATCGCAACGGTATAAAAATTCCGGACACTTTGCCGTTAATAATCCATCATAAATCGAAGCAAACTTACAGTACGGTTCAGACATGTCTATCCCGTAAAACTTTTTACCTTAATTCCTGTAGTCTCCATTGATCCTATTGGAGGTGTGCTCCTTCAAAACAAATCATGACTCCTGATTTATACATTAGCCCTCTTGCACTGCGTGCTTCGATGTCAAATTTCAATTCTTGGTATCTCACCTTAGTCCTTCTGAATTTATGTTTCTACAACAACTCTCGATCCCTAGTATCAATTTATCTCCGGTGGATTAGGTGGTTTGGTGTTTGATCAAATAGATTATGTTTGTTTTGATATGTGGTTTAATATAAAACAATGTGGCTAAATTAACAAATCAAAGTTTGGATGAATTTATGGCTCAAATAATATGATAGTTGAATCTTTGAATCAATGAATGTGTTTTGAATCTTCAAAGGAACGATCTCTATAGAAAATATGATTCAACACACTTTTGGGTGTTCAGGATATATATAATATATAGGGGAAATTGTTTGGATTGAAATATGGATGAAAATCACGTGTTTTAAAGCAAACATGATTCTGGATGTCGACCCGTCGTTCGAGCGCTTGGTCAATGACAGGCGAGCGAAACATGTGTCGCTCGAGCGCTGGCTGGCGACCGTGATTCTACTTCTGTCGCTCGAGCGTCGATTGGGCGACAAGCTAGTAAAATCGCGTCCTATTCAATTTCAATTTCTTCAAGTCCGAATTTTGATCTTCTTCTTGGATTTGTTTGACTTCTTTTTGGATTCTATCAACCCTATTCTAATTTTACCATAACTTGGATTTTTCTAATCCTAGTTTGACTTTGATTACAAAATAATTAAATCCTAATACAATTCAACTAGAACATGATTTTAACAAAGAAAATTGTCAATTACAAATTTAGAAATTGTCAATTATATAATTTGGTTTTAACACATTGTTCCACCAAAAATGTTTTAAACTCCAGATTTAGATGAGAGAAATAATCATGGAGAAAGGCTTCTCCATAGAGGCGCCTAAGTGATTTGGGGTGTCTTAATTTTATTTCTATCCTATAAAATCTCTAAAATTTTATTTTCGTTTGTTTATTGGCAATTGTATGATTTGGTTGATATAAGTGACGTGAATTTTATTAATTCTACTGTCACTTGGAATAAATTTATTGTCAGACTCAAAGGAAAGCGATAAACCCTATCAAAATAATAATTTTACTTTAATACAAACTCTATGTAATTACAAACTTTCAATTAATAAAATTGATCTTTTCGAATAAATCTCCGTTAATAAATTTATTGTCAAAGGAAGGTGGCAATTAACCTAGCATATCTAAGCAATGTTGAAATTTACCCTTGACAACATACAACCACCATGGGAAGGAATTAAGCATGAAAAAATTTCAAGATACTAGAGCAGAAACTGTAAATTGGTGGAAACCGAAAGTGCAGTCACCGCCACCACCGTCGTCTCCGCTGCACCACCGCCTTCATGAAGCCTTCCATAGTCTGCAATCCCATGTGGCCATGTCTCCAGCTTCCTCCAAAAACCTCAATCCTTCTTCAACAATATTGGAAGAAAGAGTCTTGCTATGTCTGATAAAGAAATTGGAGACCGATCGAGTATGACACCTGTTTATGGCCGTATCAAAGTTTCTTGTGAAGAATCAGTTCAAATGGTTTCACCCATTGATGAAAGAAAATCACTTTTAGGGTATTTCTTTAGTAAAGCAAATGCTATGGCTTTTGGGGAGTATACCTTTTCTTCAATCCCCTCAAGGGAAAACTTCGTAGTTTCTGAAGCACTTGACGACGTAAAGCTTCTAATTATTCTTGAAGAAACAACTTTTTTTATGTATATAACTTTTTTTCACATCTTTTTTTGTATGTGTTGACCTCAGAAAATGGATCTGACACGTGGCCACTCTTCCCTGCACAAGTAGCACGCTGTTAGTCACCCGTGGCGTTTCCCAGAGGGGTTGGGAGCGGCCGCGAGCACTCCGACGATCAAGTCAGGACTCATCACATCCTAGGTGTCAGTCCGTCCCTCCATAGGTTGGCGGCATTGAATATTTCTGACAAAGGCAGTTGATTTGACCATTTAGGTCCTGTCACACGTCCCATCAATTAAGGATTTGGCTTTGGAAATCTCTTTCTACAAGAGATCTTTGAAGGGCGAGGCGAGGCAGGAGACGCATTGCAGCGTTGTAGAAGCGGAGTGCTGGCCTTTGCATCCACGGTGTAATTGCGGATGAGTTCGATTCCTTCGCTGACGCGCGTTTAGTTCGTTCCTCACATAATCACTTCGGCATATACAATCAGCTCATCCCATATATAATCACCTCGGTCGACACGTGGCATAGCGTGGTGTGGGTCAACTCTTCTGACACGTGGCGGGCGAGATGGCGGGTCTGACATATGCTCGTAACAGTATGTATTGTGTAGGTTTTGGATTATCATATAGAAAACGGGCCAATTAGATTGATACCGGATGCATATGAAGTGAAAAACGCATTACAGGTGAGACTTTGAGCACATTAATAAGTCATAGCTACTAACTTTTAATCTCATTATGGCTATTGGGAGTTAGAAACAATAAGGGCATGTTTGATAGCACGAAATTTTATAGGAAAGTTGGAATTCGTTTTCCATTTTTCACTTTTAGGTAGTTTGGTAAGTTAAATTTTCCATGAAATTCATTTTCCACCCCTACCTCATTTTCCACCAAATTTTTGGTTTTCCTTGAAGGCTACTTTTTTTTTATTTGGGCAATTAGAATGAATTCCATTTCCAATTATAACAAATTATATCATTTTAATTGACAATTTCCATGAAAAATAAAGTCAAACGAATAGTATTCGGTATGGTAATTTTTTTTAATTTTTTATTTTTTTGACAATTGGAACAAATTTTAGACCTAATGGTAAAAAAAATTATTATTTTAATGGATAATTTTCATAAAAAACGAAGTCAAATGGACACCAAACTTTCAATATTTTTCAGGTAGAAAATTATACCAATCAAACACAATTAATTACAATTCTCAGTAAAACAAATTCTAGGCAATTCAATTTTCTGTAATTCATTTTCTTTCCACCTAAATTTCATATTTGCAATCAAACGGGCCTAAGTACTTTTTCTGTAGGTTAAAAGAAGTCCGGTCATCCTAATGAAACCTTTTCTGGTATTCCAGTTTTCGAGGTTCTTTTTGCTAATTCATAGTGTGATTTGAAATATTTTCTATGAGGAAGAAATGTCGACTTTACTTAATGGGCAGCAGTCGAGAAATTTGAGTGTATGCGACCATTATTTGCATCTCACAAACGAAGGATGCTCCAATTTTCTTCAAAAAGGTACGTGGGAAAACGAATTTAAAAAACCTTATTTTTGGTTAATGAAATCGAGAAATGATCTACATTCTCTTAGTAGGATGATCTAGAAAAGTCCCTTGCAAAAGCAAGAGCTGCTGCAGGTCAGGATGAAGGGCCAAAACTTGTTGATACAGAGGCTCATATAGAGGTCCTTCCTTTTCTTCATATATGAATAGTGAACAAAAGCAGCTGAAATGATATTTAGGAAAACTAATTTTTATTAATTCGATTGATCTAGCTAAAAGGGGAACATAGCAGCTGTATATATAGATACAAGCTGAAACAAAGAACTAGTAAGAAGCTGACAACTCAGCAGGCAAGAACCGTACTAACAGAAAGTAAAAACTGAAGGAAACAAAAAACGTAAAAAAGGAGAAACACGACTTCAGGTATATCCGGTAAGCTTATTCTGGTATATCCGGTATTGCTTGTATATCCGGTATTTCTTCTTCTGTTGTGTGAGTATCTTGCTGGTATTCTTTCATCCCCCCTCAAGTTGGAATTGGTGTAAATCTCCCAATCCCAACTTGGAAAGAAGAGAAGTAAACTGAGGGAAGGCAAGAGGCTTAGTAAATAGGTCTGCAAACTAAAGACGAGAAGGAACGAACTGGGACAAAACAAAGCCAGCCTTGAACTGATTTCGCACGACATGGCAATCAATATCCAGATGTTTGGTGCGCTCGTGAAAAATCGGATTTGCTGTAATATGTAAAGCAGCTTTGTTATCACACCACAACGGAATAGGTATCACCAATGGAATGCGAAGATCATTGAGGATGTAAGAAATCCATTGTAATTCACAAACAGTGCTGCCCATACTGCGATACTCGGCTTCAGCCGAAGAGCGAGAAACAATGGTTTGTTTCTTGGTCTTCCATGATATTAAAGCTGGTCCCAAAAAGATGCAAAAACCAGTGAGAGATTTGCGTGTATCAAGACAAGAGCCCCAGTCTGCATCAGAGTAGGCCTCTAAAGGAAAAGAGTTCTGAGCAGGAAAGAAAAGACCTCTGGAAGGACACCCTTTAAGGTATCGAAAGAGGTGTAAAGCAGTGTCCCAATGGGCTTGGCAAGGAGCATGAACGAATTGACTTAATTGCTACATGCCATAGGTGATGTCAGGTCTAGTCAAATTTAAATAGAGGAGTCTCCCAACTAAACGTCTGTAACGTTCAGGATCAGGCAAAAAGGTATCATTCATCACCATCAACTTTGTACCCTTTGGTACAGGAACCGTAACTGATTTGGCTCCAATTAAGCCTGCATCCTGAATGAGGTCAAGGACATATTTCCTTTGATTAACATACATGCCATCAGTATTACGAGCAATTTCCAGGCCCAAGAAGTATTTAGCATATCCTAAATCCTTGATAGTAAAGGCACGGTGCAAGAGAGCCTTAGCTTCAACAATATCTTCCTCATGTGATCCTGTGATAAGGACATCATCAACATAGACCAATAGGAAAAGAGTCCTTTGGGAGAAATGTTTAGTGAATAAACAATTGTCATGAGGAGACTGAAGGAATCCATGACGTTGAAGCAAAACAAATAATTCGGTATTCCATTGGCGTGAAGCCTGCTTCAGGCCGTATAAGCAGCGTTTAAGTTTACAAACTTGCCCATGTAAAGATTTTGTGTATCCCTCTGGTGGATGCATATAAACCTCTTCATCTAAGTGACCATGAAGAAAAGCATTATTGATATCTAACTGGTGGAGAGGCCAACCTTTTCCAGCATCAATGGCAAGAAAAATTAAAACTGTAACCAATTTAGCAACAGGCAAGAAGCTATCAAAATAGTCAATCCCGTGTTGTTGATGGTATCCCTTGGCAACTAGCCTTGCCTTGTATCTATCCACTGAGCCATCAGCATGAAGTTTAATCTTGTATACCCATTTGGAACCAATTGCTTGCTTGTCAGGTAGAAGAGTGGTCAATTCCCAGGTCTGATTATTTTCCAGAGCATCGAGTTCTTGCAACATAGCTTGATTCCAAGCATCACTCTTACAGGCTTGATTATAAGAAACAGGTTCCTGTGTAATTGATACATTTTCCAGAAATGCACTATAGGTAGGATTAAGGTGCAAAGGAAAAATATATGGAAAAGTTTGTGGAGTATACCCTGTATGAGTAGAAGGGACCTTTGTGCAGCATGAAGCAGGATTAGCAATTGGCAATTCTCGCTTGACAGTAACATTTGTGACATAGTCCTGCAGCCAAGGTGGTTGAGTCTTATTTCTAGCACTGTGTCGAATATTTGGAATAGAGGAAACGGGAAGTGGCTGAGATTCAGAATAAGATTGATTTTCAGAAAAAGGTACCTGTATGATGGGAACAGATTGTGATAATTTATCAGAAGTAGATGGTGACTCTTGGGCCAGTTCTGCAGGAGGTAAAACATTTGGGATATGTGGAACCACCTCAGGTTCCAAGTCTTGATCATCAATGGAGGTAGGAAAGAGAGGTAGGGAAGAATTGGACTCAACAGATGGATCTTGTTTGAAGGGAAAAATAGATCCAAAAATTCAATGTCTCTGGAAACATGTAATTGTTTAGTTTCAATATCAAACATCTTAAATCCCTTCTGACCTGGACTATATCCAAGGAAAATACACTTGTGAGATCTGGATTCAAACTTGGTTTTGTGTGGCTTGGTATTGGCAATATAACATAAGGAGCCAAAGGTTTTAAACAATAAATAATCTGGTTTTTGACCAAATAGGCTCTCAAAAGGTGTTTACCAAAGAAGAACCTGGGTAGGTAGTCTGTTTATGATGAAAGTGGCCATCAACAAGGAAAATGACCAGAATTTTTTTGGTAAACAGGCTTGGAACATTAAGGATCTGGCTATCTGTAGCAAATGCTTGTGTTTTCTCTCCACTACCCCATTTTGTTGAGGTGTATAGACACAGGTTTTATGGTGAATAATACCAAGCATTTTGAAGATATTTTGGCATTCGCAACCAACAAATTCAGTCCCATTATCAGTTCGAACGCATTTCACCCTTTTGTTAAATTGTGTTTCCACCATTCGGAAAAAATCATTTAAGGTTTTGGCAACTTGTGTTTTGTGCACTATTAAGAAGGTCCATGTAGCTCGACTATAATCATCAACTATGGTAAGCATATAGGGAGTCCCAGTTAAAGAAAATTGCCTGTAAGGTCCCCAGAGATCCACATGGATGAGGTCAAAAATGGATTTTGTATGTATAGTGCTGATGGGAAATGGTTTTCTATGTTGTTTAGCTTTATGACATATCTCACTGTCCTTTAGTAAGTCAGAATTTTTTGGAATATTCTTAAGGAACTCTAAGTACTGCATAGTGTGATAAGACGCGTGGCCAAGTCTATTATTCCATTCAATAAAAAGATCTGAAGAT